TTTTAAAAAACAAATTCCCCCTCCCTAGTTGAATTGCATTTGCAACTGGTCAAACTATTGGCTAGAGATGTTGAAAGGTATGACCATATAAGGTATTGTCAGTTAAGTGTCGTCAGTATCTCTTAATTCCTGCCGGATTTTTACAGAGTTCACTTGGGAGTAGGTTTTAATTATCTTAGTTTCATACTATTATTCATATTGATTATTTAATGATTCAATATCAATTTAGTTACATTTGAACATTTTTATGTATTGTTCTGTAATATCTTTGTTTAATTTGGACGATGTAGATGGCTATAATTAAAAAAATATTTGAAAGGTGACTTTGGCGTTTAAAGAGTTAGACAGTGGCAATAAAAGTGATTAGAATTTTAAACAGCCGTTATCTTCATTATTATAAGTGCAATTAGACGTTTGGCAAATGAGCTACAAACAAATGCTCATGGGATGTGTTATGTGACATGGGCAAGGGTCTTTACTGATTGAGTGGTCTGACTGTTCAGGAATTCAATACAGTTGAGAAAACTTTACTAACTAGAAGAAAAAAGCTTACATGAATTGGAATAAAATTAACAATAAATTAAACTTCATTGTGTTTTGATTAAACAATAGAAATAATTAAAATAAACTTGTGGAATTGTGAATTATAGAATATGGTTTTGTTCACTAGCCTAAGGGGTCTTGTTATATAAGATAATAACCCCGCCCATCTGTGATGAAATTACTCTGTAACATGTGATGTATCCTACACAGAACATGCTGGATATGATGGTGATGGTGATGTTGATTGCCTGGATGCCATTATATTTAGATGATAAAACAATATATATGTGATTATGTATAGCTAGAATCAGCATGGTTGTCACAGCATGTCAACCAGTACTGATGTCCATCTATTCAATATTTGTATTTTATTCATACATGCAGAATCAATTTTTGGAGGTTCTGATTGCTTTTCGCTTCAAATATTGAATCCAGCAGTATAACATAATATTTCATTGGTTTATCATCCCACTGGATCCTGGAAATTTTGTTATTAAATCGTCACAGTCATTGCACAGTATGAATGTAAATCTGGTTTCAACAAACAAATTGAGTATATCTTACCTGTGTTGCATTCATCGCATGGGACTCGTATCGAACACAGTGCAAACGACCGTGGCGCTTTAATATCACTGAGGACAGCTTATCCGGTGGATGTCCTCAATTTGATTCCGAAAAAGGTGTTTTTCAATGAAACGCTTAGAAATTTGTTTTGAGGTGGAAATAGTTTACATTGGATGCCATTATATTCAGATGTTATTGTGTAAATCAATAGAAAAGTCTCCTAACAAAATTTGTCACAGGAAAATCCGTGTTTAGTTGTCTTTCATTCCAGTGGATTATTATAACCAATTTTTTACATAGCAGTAAATTTGTTTCACCTTGGATCTGCTTTTGTTAGTAGTGATATCTATACAATCACTGTCCAAGCATGCAGCTAAAAATTAAAGGGATATCTTTCAACAGAATGGAAAGGAAATGTTCTTGACTTTTCTTGTCTCAGCTTTGCCAGACTTGTGGTTTAAAATAGCGTCTGTTCTGTCTGATGACTAAGTCCCACTTGACTTACTCCCATGCTTGCTGCATATCAATAAAGTTGCTTTTTAAACGAAGACTACAAAGTAGCAGCATTTTTTTTAAAAAAGGAATAAATAGACATAAATGGAAATAAAATAGAATTAAAATAGAAAGAGTTTATTTCTCTTCCTGCTTTGACTAGTTTTTGAGTCCCACCTTGTTTGTGTGCTCAGAATTAAAATATCACATCAAATTTCCTGCATCTGTCAGACATTGCTGCCATTTTGTGTTTTCATTTTTAGTATCATCTCCAACAGAAAAAAAAAAATGTGTGTCAGATAATTCTATTTATAACAAAATTATTATTTGTTTAGTCTTAGAAAAAAAAAGCAAATTACACATCAAACCACAAAGTGATTTTTAAACTGCATTCCTTCAACAACTATCTACACTTGTTTTAACTGTATATTTTGCTTCTGTCTGTTAAAAAGAAAACTTGACAAAAACACATGAAATTTTGATGAGCTGAGATGAGCTAACAAGTAATTCGGGAATTTAGACTAGACATCGTTCTTTAGAAACCTGAACCTTCCAGAATTGGATAGTGATATCTCATTCACTCCATAATGAAGGTTGTCTTCATTCATCAAATCCCCAACACCCATTGCTATTGTTAGCTGTGTCTCGTCTAATATTCTGTTACATTAGCATCCTCTGGCAAGCTACTTGTTTTGATTTAATAATTGAAAATGTGGTCTGTTTCACTAGACTTCCCTATTATGCTGGGTATTGATTTAGTTGAAACTACGTGCGACATCATGCAGATCAATACATGCTATCACGTCACCAGTATCCTCACCCTTACGATGAATCTATAAAATTGGGGTTAGTTATTGAAAACGAAAATTTTTAATATTTCTTTTTTTCATTCGCAGGTGATGCCACAGAGCGAGAACTAAGTGACCTAATATCTGAGATGATAATGATGCGGCAAATTGGCAAACATATTAATATTATCAATTTAATTGGATGTGTCACACAAGATGGTGAGATTTTATCTTAATCTGCAATAGAAATGATAAACGTTTCAATTCGATAGTTCCTTGAAAGAAATATTGATAGTTTTTCATCAAAATCGTTTCATTCCAGGTCTGATTACTGTGTCAAGTATTCTCTGCATTTCATTTTGCTTTTTTTGATGGAAAGTAACATCTACTACTGTGAAATACTTTATTTTCGCTGGAATTAATTTTCACTGAAAAGGCTTTTTGGGCGTTTTGCTTGGAATTTATTTTCACTGATTTTTGATGAGTTTAATGTGAAATATAGACAAAAAAGTATATTCGCTAGATTTTATTTTCACGGAACCATCCCTTCAACGAAAATAGTGAAAATAAATTCTAATCCAAAATAAAGTATTCTACAGTATTACAATATCCACATGAACATGTAAAAATACATCAGAACTCATTAACTTGAAAAAACTTTAAAAAAAAAGGGGGGGGTCAAAATTCTGAGAACGAATCAAATTTTATTTGAACCCACAACATCCCTGGACTCGGGAAAATATTTTTAGTTTGCAAATTTACTTGAAAAGATGTTTGAATTACACAGGTTTCTGGTCAACATTGAGGCTTTTATTGTGTACGACATTAAACAAAAATTACCAATTTTTTCAGTGAGGGATGAAATTTAGAAAATGTATAGCCTACTTGAAAATAAAAATCCCATTCTAATCTTGCAATACGGATTGCAGGGGAAAAGTGTTCATTATTTCTGATCAGAAGTTGAAATTTGATAATTGAGAAACTGAACCATTTACGTTGTCCAGTTTTCTTGTTATCTTCTGTGTTCATAGAAAATAGATTCATCCATTCTGTGCCCCAGTTGATTCCCACTAATACTTGAAAGACCCCTTAGGCTAACTGAAATTAGTTCCTTAGTAATGATGTATAGATGAGAAATGGAACAACCGAAGTCAGGAACTAATTTAGGTTTCAAACAAGGAAAGATACTATTATCTCTACTATTATAATAGTTCTGCCATGGTTGTGTTTAAAACCACCTGAAATTTGCCTGTTATTGAGTATTTGTGTATGGGAATGGTTTTGTTGAAACTTGAAAGAGATTATAGTCCCATTGTCATTGTCATTGTGTGTTTCACACCTGTTGTATACTGTTGCATAGAACCACATCAGAACACGAGGATATGCAACAACATTGCGATGGCTGGCATAGATTCATTCTGTAGAGGTGATTTGTTAAAGTCAAGTATCACCAAGTATATTACTGAGCATTTAACAATACATTATGGTGGAAATCATTCTATTGAATATCAGGGGGAAAAATATCACTTTTGAAAAATTTGTTACTATATTTACTGGGTATGACCTTTTCGTTTTAACTTACTGAAATGAAATACTTTCACCAAAAAATCCAAACTTATGAAGACACAAAGATGCATTGAGCATATGTTACCACTAGAATTTTGACTCTTGTTTCTCTAAAAGTTTTTCATTATCAGTATCATAATAGTATGCTTTCAAATTGAAGTTATGAAAAAAGTTACGAAAAAAAATTTATTTTTCAATCTTGGCTAAACTTTCGAAAAAAATCTGATCTTTCCTGAGGCACCGATAAACAAGTCAGTTTTCATGCGAGAATGGGGAGTTGATTTTTAGCTTGTGCAATTTGTTTACTGGTATTCCTGGTTCCTGGCATTCTGATGAGCTATTGAACGTTTCCAGGGTCAAATAACCCCCCTCCTCTCCTATGCATTCAAAATTGAAACGTTTTTACACCTGAACGGCAAATTTGTAATGTCACGGTGAAACCCAAAACTTGTCTATAGTACGTTGCATCAAAATTGCTACTGTCACCAGACACTGACACTGATACATTATTTTTGTAGGGCCACTTCTCGTCATAGTGGAATATGCTCCGCAAGGTAATCTCCGAGAATTTCTACGATGTCGACGACCGCAAAATATGGATTATGAGAATGCAAGTCTACTGCCACAGGTAGAACTCCTATCAAATAAAGATTTGGTATCATTTGCGTACCAAATATCTAGGGGTATGGAATTCCTCTCTTCAAAAAAAGTGAGTATTTTGACTTTAATGCTTTGGTTTGGAGAAGCAAAGTATGTTTCAGTTGTGTATTTAGTTATTGTTAAACATTATTGCAGTCGCATATGCATTCAAATTCTATGTCAATAAACTTTGAAGTCAATTTGAAGATACTCAAAAGATTGTGTCTGATTGGTCACTCAACAGTAATACTTTACAGTCAGACCAATCAGAGAGCAGCTTGTTTAATGACAGGTTTTTTAGACGTATCAAATTCTACCTTGTATATATGGTTTGACTCAACGCTTAACGTGTATACATTGTCTTTTAAACTTTCACGCTTCGGGGTGATCTCGTATTCAAACACCTGGGTCAAACCTAAGACTACATGTATCTTCTCTATAGTCTTTGGTCAAACCTGGGTTTGGTTAACCAAGGTTTAATCCAAGTGTTTGAATATGAGAGAACCCTATAAATGTCTGCTGTTTTCAGGATTGGATACTTATTTAACAAAATTGTATGTATAAATCACTGTTTATTTGTTTTTCTTATCTGTTGGGTCTTGCCCCAACTGCTCAACCTGATGAATCAGTTGGTTGTCATACAGATATTTTTTTTATTTATTTATTAACACTTACTCACTCCCCAGAGAGAGTGACAATGGTTCCAGATAATAGTTAAAAGTATACAGTATTTAATAATCACTAAATAATCACTAAAACTCATTGTGCCTGGTAGCTGCATAGACTCAATGGCCGAAAACTCAGTTTAGTGTTTTTTCTCGGTAAAATTAAAGATTTGGTGAGTAACTGTTCAGGGACCCTCTAGTTAAAGTGGTACAATGGGAGACAAGCAGCTTATGCATCCCATTTCCTCCAAAGTGATGTACCGGGTAAGTAGGTTATAGGTCCCTTCAATCTTTACGGTTCACCCACATTAAGTTTTTCAATCCATCTGCTCATATTGGTACATCTGTGAACACAGAAACAAGCCATGTCTGCATACGTAAAGGATACTTTTCTTTGTAAGGCATGTTTTATTCAGTGGCAGTTGTTAAGCAATCTGAATCTATAAATCATTGAAAGATACAAGTTACATAGTTCACTTCATACATGTCTTGAATACAATAATAGTTTGGATAGCGTGTATTCCGTGTGAGTGAAATGACATGTTATTATGGTCTAACATTCCAGGTGAACACTCAGGTGTAACACACGTACTTGATTTTAAAATTGTAACAAGTTCTTCAATTTAAGCAACCAAAGATTGACAAGTTTCGTGAGAAGACTGATGTTAAATAGCCGATACCGGAATAGTTTTGACGCACACTCTAAATTACTACCGGTACTTGCAAGTCCTTGTAGGGCTCAGGTTTATCCCCATACCCCTGAATACCCTTTGCAATAAAAACCTGCATTGATTGGCTAATAAATAGACATCTATTTTGATGTCAAGAAGGCTTTTGCTGATTGGCTAATACAGTCCAGTATTTTGATGTCAATAACACGTCCACTAATTGGCTAATAAATACAGTACCATATTTTGATGTAACAACGCTTGTAATGATTGGCTTTTAGTCTTGTTTCATTATTATTTTGGCGGGTCTTACAGGAAGGTCATATTACATAAAATTATTATTCAGGGCGTATATTGCTTGTGATTATGCCCAGACAATGAGTCATGTTAGTGACAAGAAATGAAGATTGTAATCTTGTATTCACGATGAAATAAATGAAACTGCATGACATACATTATTAACTGATATCTTCATTTTATCATCATGGTCTGTCTTTTTTTCTGAACCATATAACATTTTTCGTTATTTTCGCCGCTGACATTTTTTTGTCTTGGATTTTAATTTCTGCTTGTTTTGAATATATGTGACTATTAATTGTACCTGACCTGTGCTCAGACCCAGAACAAAAATGATGTACTTGACATTGTGTACATCAGTTTAAAACACTGTGCATAGCAAGTTTTCAATAAACAAACTACTGTAAAATCTGTATTAGAAGCTAATAGAAGTCCCACCCATTCTTTTTGAATAATTGTGAACCAAAAATTCATCATTTCTCGTATGTGTAGATGCTCTAATAGGAGCCGCATACCCTCTGTTGAATTGTACCATTTTAATAGAAGCCGCTGTTTCTAATACAGATTTTACAGTAACAATCAAATTTTTATTCAATTTAAAAGTATTTGGGTGTGATGAAAAGTACCTTAAGAGGGCGCTCTATTCGATAGCTCCAATTTTTTTACTTATTGTATCTATTGCACCAAGATGATCAATTACAGAAAAAAGGATTTTTTTTTCTAATTAGCGACATCTATGTTTATCTCGTATTAGCTGAATTATCATGCATGCTATTGTGTAATATTATAGAAGAAGAAATATTCACTTGGTATAATTTTAACAGATTTGATTTTATAGGTATATTCATAGGGTTATAAATTCACTGGTTTGGGAAAGAAACAATACATTATAATTAATGTGTTTTAATTTAGTGCATTCAGCTGTCAGTGAAATGAGTGAAAATAAAACCCAGAAAATAGATAGGACATA